TTTTTTTTTTTTTTTTTACTTTTTGGTGGTTGGCCAGTATGGGGACTGAACTCTTGACCTTGGTGTTACAAGGCTACACTGTAACCAACTGAGCTAACTGGCCTGCCCCAGAATTTGAATTCTGATTCCTACTTATTTACTAGCTGTCTGACCTAACTATAATAGAACCTCCTCATCAGGTTGTGAGAATTAAAGGAGTTAGTGCATGTAAAGTTCTTAGTCCAGTGCTTGGCTTATAGTCAGCACTCAATAAATGTTAGCTAGAAGACGCTTGTAGGTCAACATTCCATATACACTTGATTCCTTTGAATCACATCTAATATTACAATATCAGGTACCTCTTGACTTTCTTTTTGTAAAAATTATGTAGTTTTAGGATATTAATTGGGTTTTTATAAAATTATTAAGTATTTGATCATAGAAAAATTTAGGATAACCTTATTCTAGACTCACTTTTTACTCAGCAAATTTTTGTTGATTTCCTGCTGAGTGCTAGGCATTGTGCAGGGTGCTGGAGACAAAGCAATAAAAAGGCAGCATCCCTGCTCTCAGGGAGGATATAGTTTGACATAGAAAGAAGATCAGATAATGGACACAAGTAATCATTAATGTCATGATTATATTTGTCATACCCTTAGCAAACTCTCCTAAAATATGTATCCTTTGCCCCTCCTTTGCATTTTTTTATTGTGCAAATATTAAACTCATTAAGATGCAGTAACTTGCTGATTTGAATCTTTTTAAAGAATATTGTAAACCAGTTATTATAACTAATTTTAGCTTATTGGCTTTGTCATCTTCCTTTCAGGAAAAAGAACAAATTACTATAAGCCAGTTATCATTGGTGGATCTTGCTGGAAGTGAAAGGACTAACCGGACCAGAGCAGAAGGGAACAGATTACGTGAAGCTGGTGAGCAAAGCATAGTACTTATTTATTGTTACAGCTTTCAAAAACTTGTAATGCCGGTTTATTATGTACTTTTCAGTGGGAGGTTTAAGTACAGTTGTCTTCAATTAGATA